ATTTCAAAACTTCAAGCAATACAAATATATGACTCACATATATCTATTAAAAACAATTGCGGGAAAATATTTGTTTTGGAATTGTCCCACATCAGAGAAATTTTGATTCAAAAGATGGAAGAACAAAGGATTGAGTCATCTACTCCAACATTTTTTGCCGAAATTATTAATATTATTATCAATATCTTCTTGAAATCTGCTGCTTCATGATTATTAGACCCATATGGATAGGTCTATTTGATTTCCAAGTATTTTCTAATGTTTTGCAATTTTCGTTGTATTTCTTTAATAAAAACATGAGATATAAAAATGTTGCACAATACAAATAATTGCATGGTTATCAGATGCGTGTGGACATTTAAAATTCTGTATGCAAATATCCCAGTTCTTACGTACTTGCCCTCGTCATCTAGGAGGCTGTGGCTCAAGTGATGCCATCAGGGACAATCACTTCCTTTGATTGTAAGTATTTATATTGAGGCAATTTTTGTGGCTGATTTTTGACGCCATTTTGATCCTAGAGAAAGTTTTATTTAGTACACTAAGATGAGCTAGCTAAAACTCTTGCTGTACTTTTAGATGAAGATGAAGATAAAGACCGTATAACAGTTCGAAGTGATGAAGAACTACAAACTATGATACATGGGGTATGTTATCTCTGATATCACTATTTTTTACTACAAAGCAATACTAACAACAATATTTTGAACTGGGAGYAGGGTCGGGTCTAATATTCCCTGGTAACTGAAGAAAGTATATAGTAGAATTKATCAATGTAATATTCTACTTCTTGATTCCATGGGCCATCTTGCATCAAAGTGAGAGGACTGTTGAACATGCAATGTAAATAATTAGCTGTAAATAATTGTCTGTAGGCGAGAAAGAAGGTTTCTATCATTCCACGCTCAACGGTTGTCTTGCTTTAATGCAAAAACATGGCTACCTTTCAAGCAGGGAACCTGGAAGAGACAATTATGAATTTTTTGAAAAGAGCTAKAAAAACTCCCTGGATCTTGGTGGCTTTCATATTACCAGGATCCATTAAGAGAAACAATAACAACAAAATATCTAGTGAAGATTCTGAGGACAACTTTGAAACTATAGATATTTTCTTACATTGATGAATATACATATCATGAATATGTTACATTTTTAATGAGCCCTTAAATTAATTTATACAGTAATTTTCTTTCAGTTTTTCTGGTTAAACTCTGAAAAGATCAATCAGGGTTGTGCACTGGAACCCCTTGTGATATATCCTAGAGGTATGAACAGTG